TTGTATGTGTATATTTGAGCCTATACGTATAGTTGACCCTGTGTGGATTACAGAAAAAACAAAATAAAGCCAAATTCTAGTTGTTTAAAGTCATTAAAGATATATGCTGTACAATCATTCCACCCTCAAAAAAAGAAGATTTCAAAGAAATAATTAAAAAGCCCAAAATGACCTTGATGAGTTTGTGAATCTATTCTGATATATGTCTACTTTATGATGTGTACTACTGCACACATGCAGCCCACCTCATCATAGGAGAGAATGGTGAAGTGATTATGATATTACTCAAGCTGAATACAACTCTTATAATATTTTAAGATTTACTATATACTATATTATACACTATAAATATATACAATATACAGTAAATTACACAATATAATATATTTTACAATATTGCAACGGATCTCAGTGTTACTTTGCCTAAAAGCACAGGGGACAATGACTCAGATTAAAATGAATCTTTTACTTACAGAGTCAATAATACTGAACAGATCTTTTTCAGGTAATTATACAAAACCCTATGGTATAAACTATGGTATGAACTGTATGGTATAGTTTAGCTTTATACTGATCTATACCCTGACTTTAGGGCTGTTCGATATATCAATATATATCAGATGATGATATAAAAACATCTATCTTTCATTTTACGCTATCGTTTGTTTCGTGGTGTCGCAAAATAAACTGTTTACGGCAATATTTTTTCATCGTTTTGATGGTCACTGTAGTGGCTATATTAATTTCGTAAAGTTCTCTCTTTCTCTTATATTTTATATAACCACACTATGGACAGACAAGTGCCTGTTTTTATTTGTTGTGGTTAGCAACAACGACGGTAACAGCATCGCGTGTCCGCTTGTTTATGTTCCACATAAACCTTTCACAATAAAGCTCAAGATCCTGTTGAGACCTTTCAAAATAAACAGAATCACGTGAAAGAGCAGATTATTTACGGATGAGAATTAAAAAAAGAGCCGCCAGGTGTTAAAAAATAAACCTTAGACTCAAACGTTAGAACAGGCTTTTCCCCGCAGCACGCTGTGTAATAAATACTCACAAAGAAAACGGCGGCCTTTACAACTTATGTCTAAAAATATATCGTTTCATGCATCGGTTAAAACACTCGACTCCAGCTACATGATGCGCAGCTGGAAACACTTCCCGCAAGTCGAGCTGCCCGAGATTCACATAATTTACAGAAAATGTTAAATTTTTGTGATTTATATCGTTATCGACGATAGAATTCTTATATCGGGATATGAGATTTTGGTCATATCGCACAGCCCTACCTGACTTCATACATTCGATTTGCTGCAGAATTATTTCCAACAGTATCCAATGTTAGTTTTTGTAATAGGTATTGAATTTCAGCCCTTGAATTCAGCACTTACAAAATGATGCGTGTGTTTGCTTTGAACGCGCATCAATTGATAGTTTTCCCAATTACAAATAACTGTCCTTGGGTAGTGATGAGGCTCACTTTGTCAGAGCTGTAGATAGACTCTCAGTGTCACTGCCTATTGTGCATCACACATAATGGGTCTTTGTGAAAACACATTGTTCAGGTTTACAATTTACATAATGCTTTCACCTTGGCATTTGTATCCTTTAGTATGTGTGATACAAAAGAAAGCACTTGTACCACACACAGCAAACCACACAAATATTGCACAGGTAAGGTCAGGCAGTCTGTCTGGCTTTACACAGCACAGAGACTAACAGGACTATTATGGTCCATGCTTGTCTTTCGCACAATACTGTATATACAACAAAACAGAAAAAAGGCTGTTTGCCACAAGTCAAGCTGGGAAATGTCTAGTTCAGGAAGTTTTAGGTCGACTAGCAAAACATGTCATTTGACTCCTGACCAGGAATCTAACCATAATTTATTTAATTTCATTTTAGTTTAGGAAAAAGGCAGAAGCTCGTGACATTTGCAGTGTAGTTATCTGTAGTAATCTGGTGCAGCATGACAGCTCCCACACATGCTGTCCAATCCAGTATTTATGGTTTTCTCAATGACTCAATGATAAACAGCATAATTATTTTTGAAAATAAAAATTATTATGTCACTAAACATAAATATTTGTAGTTTCTAGACAATATAAATCCTGATAGACGGTAAAAAGCCATTTTTCTATAAGGTTTTAAACTCTATGTGTAAAACAAAACTTCCACATATAAATTAAAGCCATTCTTTGGTTCATCCAGCAGCACTAATATCTGCACAAACAATATCACTTTCACCAAACGGTACAATTCAAAGTCCTAACTAAAGCTAGGATATGGCTTTTGTAGTCAAATAGATAAATAAAACAAATGGTTAAAGTGCAACGTTAGTTACTTTGCTTTGAATTAGAGATGATTTCCTGTAGTGAAATCATCTCTAATGATGATTGCATCATCTCTAATGATGATTTCACTACAGTGTCTTTCGTCTTGAACTCATCTAACCTTGTGCCTTCATCTCGCTGGGATGTAGGAACAGGTCATGGTCGGTCAAGCTAATGCTTGTGATTCCTCCAAATATGCCACTTTGCATTTCAGAAGCTCCCCACAAGTAGCTCTGCTAAAAGTACACTGATGGAAGCAACGGCAACCTGCACAGAGCTGATGAGCTGGGCAGCAAGTCAGACACATGAACAGCATAGAACATCTGGTCAGTTTAAAAAGAAATGTTATGGAAATGTAGACTTCATTTCAAAGAAGATCTCAGCAAGGCGGCATTTCTCTATGAGGATGGCCAACTCAATAACAAATGGTAAGCTGACTGGTCTGCAATAGGATGTTACACAAACTTTTCTGCTTAACGCTTGTTTTAGAGAATAAGAATATCACAATTGTCAGATTTCATAATTTCTTGTCTAATCTAATCAGATCATTACAGCAGACACAACCAGTGTCACCTTGTGACAGTGTCACTCTCACATGTGAGGCCTCCTGTTCTTAATCAATACAGAAAAATTAAAAGGGGAATTCGTAGTTCATAGCACCTATTAGCTTTATTCCTTGATAGGAATAAAGATCAGTGTAGGTTAAAGTAATTTAATGTTGTAAATACAATTCTTAATGTCTATTTATTAGGTTTATAAATATGTATAAATAAAAATTTATTAAGGCTAGTAGGCTACCCCCCAGCAATCGGGGCTGTACAACATAACTATATTTATCAAATGATGAAAGAAAAATGTCTATCCTTGTGGTCATTATATAAAATTATAAATTCACTACATTTACAGACATTATTGTAATAATTGGTTAAAGAATTGGTAAAATTTCAGTGAGTAAGGCATTTTTTTAGAGTTTTTCCTTATTTTTTAAGTTGATCAAATATTGTAAAAGAGCTGAAATAATTAATGAAATGTAGAGTACATATGTATTTTTAATAAATGTTCAAAAAGTTCTCGATTCTCACTTGTTGATAATTAGAAAATACATATCTTTGCGGTCACATAAATCAAACAATGTAAAATCCAACCCATCAGTTCTAGTATAGTAATAGCATCTTTCAATGTTTCTCTAAAAAAATCCAACTCATAGAAGTTTCAAAAATATTCATAATAACTGGTTACCACCAGTTATTGTGAATATTATTATCTTAAGTCCATTTTTCACAATTTATTAAATTCTTGAAGACTCATATAAACTTTGTCTTTTTATCCTGAAGTTTAGAGTCCTGCATTGCTTTCACTGAAATCACATGAGGTGGGAATCTTTTCACAGTTGCTGTGGAGAGAATGAAAAATGACAGAGGCCAAAAATGTTTTCAATACATATAAAATGTAGGTATTCCTTTTAGACAGACTTAAAACGATAGGCATTTCCTTTAACGCGTTTCCTGCTCACTTGAAAGTTTTTTATAGTCAAAAATACATTTACATTACCCATGTGAGTCACAAAAACCATTAAAATTATTTTGTGTCATGTCATTTCTTTCCAAAAGCACATTTTCCATTTACATACATAGCATTATCTACAAAGAGAGCCTGAGGGAAGAATGCATTTTTAGGAATTTGTAATTATTCTTCAATTCTGCTTCTTTAATAGAGTAGTACACTCGACCAAACTTCGGGAACACTTTTAAGTTCACCTTGCCATTCATGGCACAGAATCTCAGCGAGCTCGAAGGAAAGATTAAGAGCAGAGTGGAATCATAATAAAGGTGACAGAGGATGCCTCATGGGACGCTTTGCCTCCAGGCGTACAGAAGAAAATCTCCCTTTATAATGCAGTTAAATTATTTCACGCTTGCAAAGCATTTTTTAACTGAAGCTTTAGCTGTGCATACGGAGCTCCTGGTTTAGCCCCAATTAGCAAAAGGAAAATTTGTTGAAAAAACTGTAGAAAAGCTATTGTTTGTCCTCTGAAAACAATCAAACTTACTATTTATTCAAAGATGATTAGAAGTCATGCCATAAGAGTGTGGAGGTGGAAAAGAGTTGTTAGTTAATTGGAGGGTTATGAATAGAACTGTTTGTTTCAATATTAGTAAAAATGTTCAAATGTTTTGGTTGTGGCAACCTAATGACATGTGGAAACTTTTTTTTCCATGAATTTACACTGATCAAAAAAGAAACTACAAGATGTGGCTCTGCATGAGCTGTACATCCCTTGCACAAATACAAATCTATTATCTGAGCATCTACTTGTGTATTGCATGTATTCAAACAGTGTCTTCTTATTTGGAGAGCTCTAACTAAGGCAAACAAAACGCCATGAATGTTTGTGCTGATAGATAAATGCTACACTCCCCACCATTAATCACACTGGCAGTTTCAAATAAGCTGTAGCGTACTGAAGTATGGGGGAAGGCTGTCTTAATGCTCATTTGAAATTCAAAGTGGTTTTCATAAATTATTCAGTTTATTAAAATCATAAGCAACTCTGTTATAATTCCACAAACAAAAATACACATATACCACAACGTGTAACTGTGTGTGAATGCATTTACCTGTGTCAGTGTGCGTGTGTGGGGGTTGCATATGTCTATTACTCACCCCAGCGTCGTCATGGTGACAATAGTGTACCAGAATGAAGCTGGGATGCTGGTGAACTTGCTGGAGCTGGAGCCCTTCTCTGCATAAAACATGACCGTGGCAAAGATGATGATGGCCATGGTGAGTGAGAAGAGGAGGAAGCCCAGCTCCGAAGCGCAGCTCTTGAGTGTATAACCCAGGATCCGCAGGCCTTGCGAGTGGCGGGAGAACTTGAAGATACGAAACACTCGAAACACACGCAGTGTCACGAAGGCGCCGCTGACATCCTCGTTGTTGGTCATCACTAGACCAATATAATATGGCAAGATAGCCACCACGTCGATGATGCTCATCACAGAGCGCATGAAGCGGTAACGACTAGGTGCGGCAAACAAGCGCAACAGATACTCCACGGTGAAAATCATAACACAGGCGGTGTCCATGCAGAAGAACGCAACAGTGTAGCGTTCGCCACATGGCATGTCTTTCTGATTGGCAGTAGCACCACAGGGCACGGTCTCCACCACATTCGTAATGACCGAGACAGCAATGAAGAACCCAGTGACATAGTAAAAGACCAGGGCCATGGTGGAGGTGTGGGGGTTTTCAAAGGCGCGCCACATGGTCTCTCTGAAGTTCATGTTGGGCATCTTCAGGTCCATATTCTCTTCCTGATCATCCTGCAGCCGCTCTAAGTTCTCCCTCTTTCTGTCCTTGTATTCTTCATAGCAGCAGTCACCGATGATCTCAGGTATGATGCCAAAGAAAGTCAGCTCCTCATCATAGGCCGAGATGCACTCGTGACGAGGATAATGGAGCTTTCCCGTTCGGTAAAAGTTGAGAATGCTTCTGAAGGCGTCAGGGTCCCGGTCGAAAAAGTACTCCTTGGTTTCCTCGTTGTAAAAGAAATCTTTCTCAGAACTGCCCAGTAGGGTGTCTGGGTAGCGGTCCAATGTTGTTCTCCAGGTCTGAAAACGACGGCCGCTGACATTGAGGATGATAAGTTCATCTTGTTTCTTGCTGTTGTCTCTTGGCGCGATAGGCATGGGGCAGTTGGCCACAGGCATCCAGCCAATTGCTGCAGCCCTGGCAAAGGGGAGCCACGCTGCTACTCCTGTTGCCATTGTGAAGCAAAGTCTTCCACACCTTCAGACTTAACTGCCCTGAAAATGATCTGGCATCTGAAGAAGAAAACACAAAAAAGGGAATGTGGATAATTAACAGCAACACATTCAGTCTTCAACCAAATGACCAGTGCTGACCATCAAGGTGCTGTGTACCATCATGCCTATTCTACTATGAGTTTCAAAACATTTTTCCTCTCTGTTAAATCTCCTTTCACTTTCAGCAGTCTCTTGTTTAAATATCTGAAAATGTCATCTATACAAAATGCCACCTGAGCTGCTAAAAATGGAAAGAACAGCTAAAGGTGGATGTAAAAGTTTGTGTGAAATGTAAAATCTGATTTCTATGAAAAAAATAAAATGTGCACGAGTTCGACTTAGACCACAATGAATTGGTATGCATGTGAATCAAATGACTCGCCTTTTGTGTCCAAGCCTATGTCGAAAAGGAACAATTAGATGTACAATTTAACCAGCATCAGCGACATTAAGAAACAACTATAAGGCTTCTGTTCTGAGCAGCTTCATTAACTATCCTACGGTGAAAAACAGTGACAGCCAAACCTGTTGAATCTAAATAAGGAGGAAATCTACTTCAGAGTTCTCCATGCGCTGATAACGTTACGCGGTTTTCCCTGTTAGAATTTTAAAGTAGGGGAGAGCGGGGTAAGTTGTCACACGGGTAAGTTGTCACACTGTTCATAACTCCAACACTAGAGGCTCTATCTCAAAAATGAAATAGCCACTTTGTGTGACTTCTTCTTCTATAGTCAACCTCCTGTTCACATGTGGTCAAGACTGCTCTAATCTGAGGTGAGCACATCTTTTTTATTTTTTTGACCTAAAAGGAAAAATAAATCACTTTAAATTTTCTTCAGTACAACTTTGTTATGTATATATGACATTATGTTAAAGGCAGTCAGGCAGGTAAAGATGCAGAACAAATCAATCACAAGTACAGCAAAGGATTTTGACATAAATTACCGCACTGCAATTACTGACAGCGGACTACCAACTCCAGAGGACATCCAGCCATATCCAAAAGCTGGCCGCCGAAAACCATCCAGCAAAGGAAGAAAACGACGCAAATCAGCAATTCTAACCGACACGCCAGTGAAGCAGCAACTAGAAAAAGAAAAGAATAAGGCTGAATCTAGCAAAAAGCTGTTTCAAAAGAGAGGGACGCGAGGGGGGAAAACATCTGGACCTATGAAGAACAACGCAGCTAAAAGAAGAAAAATAATTCAAGAGTCATCATCAGATGATGAAGAGTGCTTCTGCCTTGTCTGTGTGGAGCCATTTTCAAACAGTCGTCCAAAAGAGACCTGGGTAAAATGCGTAAAATGCGTAAAATGCAACAAATGGGCCCATGATGCTTGCACCTCAGGCCAGGCAATTTATGTGTGCCAGAATTGTGACTATGAAGTTGAGTCTGATTAATCAGAAATAAGGCATCTGTTTTGTTCAGAGTATAAACATGTTAAGTAAAGCAAGTTATTTGCAGCATTCCATTCATGGATGATGGATTTATGTGCAAGCCAGAGAACATTTGAGTTTAAAGTTCAAACTAAAGTTTTCTTTCTACTTAATGTTTTGATTAAAATGTGTATTGGATTGAAATAATTGTTTTTTTCCAAATTCTCTTGGCATAATTGTTCAAATTTCCAGTTTTGGTTTGAATTTAACAATTAAAATCAATAATCATAATTAAGTATTTGTGTTCATATTTTAAGATAATCTAGTGTGACAACTTACCTGCCGATGGGGCAAATTGTCACAAGTGCACATTCTCCTTTCAACAGTCTACAACTCCGTAATGAGATAAGATATGAAAATGTAATCAATACATCATATGTGCCCGAGACTTCCGTCTTTCATTTGGTGAAACATTTATTACGTTGTGATGTATGGTGCTCAGTAAAAGTTAGTCAGTGTGAAGAGTGTGACAACTTACCCCGCTCTCCCCTACATAAATTACACAATGACCTGATGACGTTTCTTTACTGACTTGTATTACCTGGTCGAGTATAAGCAAACATCTTGTGTCCGTGCACGTTATACTCAAAACGTGACAAAAAGTGATTCTGAAACGTTCACGCCTTAGAAACACCGCTTTTCGCCTCCAGCGCACGAATCGCACAACTTCCCCAACAAACGCATTTATTCACCTGATAAATGCAAATTTCTAAATTTATATCAGCCCTTCCAAAGATAAGAACTGAATAAAAGGGTCGGCGAAAACAGGAATACTCACAGAAAAGGAGATGGAGTGGAGGAGGGAACAAAATCCCAACTCTTCCAAACCGAGTCCTCAGTTGTAAGTGAGAAAGGATGAGCTCGGATCCATCCAGCGAGCTGAGGCAGCGAGCAACACCTCTCTTCTTCACCTCGGTCGATCGGCAGACTCCCGCACCGAGCAGAGCGAAAAAACTGAAAGCAGCAGAATTAACCGCAAGACTCTGAAGAAACGGTCTGTGTCTGACGGATTCTACATCCTGCCTTCTTTGATTCCCCGTCACTGTTTGAAAAAGTGAAATGTGATGGAGAGGAGACGCACGCTTCCCTTCCTTCACCACAAAGTACAATGTACGACTCGCTCGCTGTGCCAGCTCCGTGTCATCAGTCCTCCTCCCCTCTGCCTCACTTTGCCATCATCTGTGACAGACTTCAACTCACTTGGCACTTCCAGTATGGTGGTGATGCACTGTAAAGCAGAACGTGACGTTGTGATGCAGGAAACTGGACTTGATCAATCAATCAACTTTAAATCCGATTTAAAATTTCAAGTTATGCATTTGTTTACTCATTATTATTTTTATAATCTCAAAATGAAAAATAAACCCTGTTGGCAGACAAGAAACTTCTATTCTTCTTCTATTATTATTATTATTATTATTATTATTAGTAGTAGTAGTAGTAGTAGTAGTAGTATTATCAATAATTCCCCTTTGCACATGTTTCATGCCATGCAGGCCTAATGTTTTACACCCCGCCTTAACCTGCTTGGTACCCTTGTTAACGTTTGACCTTAACAAGTCCCTCATCTAAATGATCAAATCGTCCTTTCACAAACAAGCAAACAAACAGCTCGGAAGACTTCCTCCAAGCTGAAGAATTATAGAAACTCTGCTTTTGCCTTTTCCTGTGGAGATGAAAAAATAAAACCTTGCCTTACAGTGTCAAAGGTGTGCGCCCTCATCTCCTTTTATGAAGTCAGTTATATTGCCACTTGATGCGTTGGCATGCTGCTGACAGTTTTCTCGTGGACAAAATATTTGACAAAACAGCGCTTGTTTGGAAGGAATTTAAAAATACCTCTGTCTGTGTTGTCTGAAGAAATGTAATATACTTCCCCCCCCCCCCCCCCCACCCCTTTTTTTTTTTTTTACACAAATCTGCTCGAAGGTATAACGGTTAGATTATTTCTCTGGCATAACTTTCATTTTGGAACTGTTCCTATACCAAATGTCAAGACAAGATTGTCAGCCAGCGGTAATTCATCGATTAAGTGTTTGCTGGGACATGACAGATATTCAGGTTTTTGCACTTTTAAAAAAGGGGAAAAGTTTGCATTAGAAAGCAGGAAGGGTAGCGGGAAGGTGGCAAAAACACATCTAACTTTTACCTCGAATGTTGGAACGTGACTGTTGCTCAAAGCCACTTTAAAGTTTTATTTTAATTTCTTGTTTACTTTCATTTTTTATTTATGGTAGGTGACATTTTGGCATATAACTGCTTGTTAGGGATAGGACAACAACGTGTTTTGAGTTAAAATACAGCTTTTTACTAAATTAAACACACAGAGCTCAGTGTTTGTTTTCAGGTACTACTTTCCATCATGAGTACAGGTGGGACACCCGTGGTGCATATTATGCAGTGATTAACACAGCAGCTAGAGGTCACTTTAAAACATCACCATGTACTCTAGGACGTAATATTAAAAACTGCTGTCTTGTATTTTCATTTAAACGATGTTAAATTACCTTAAAATGCATCGTGGTGTAAAGTAATAAAGTGCTGTTACATACAGTCATGTGAAAAAGACTTTTTACAGGACCCTGTGCAGCCCTTTGAAAGCCTGGGTATACCCCATGATTCAGTAGCTTGTATTGCAGCTAAACTACATTTAGCTGCAATAATTTGAAGTAATAAATTTCAGTATGACTTTAACATGCTTTAACATCATTATGGAGGAATTTTGCCCACTTTTCTTCTAAATGTTGCTTCAGTTCATTAGAGTTTGTGAGCATTTGTTTATGCAAGTCCCACAACAGCATTTTAGGCCAGTTGAGGTCTGGATTTTGACAGGGCCATTGCTGCACCTTGATGCTTTTGCAGCCATTCTGTTGTAGATTTGCTGGTGTGCTTGGGATCATTGTCTTCTTGTATGATCCAAGTTCAGCCAAGCTTTAGTTGCTAGAGAGATTGCCTGACATTTGCCTCCTGAACACTTTGGTAGCCTATACATGGTTAACTGAATGACTCCAAGGTGACTAGGTCCCATGGCTGCAAATCAAGATTCAAATTGTCATCCCTCCACCAGAGTGCTTTGTGCTGATCTGCTCTGTATGTTTTCGTCAAGCTTGGTGCTGCGTATTATGGCAAAACATTTCCACAATGGTCTCATCTTTCTGAAGGACATCTTTTGATTTGTTAAGATGCAACCTCGCAAACCCAAGCTTTATGGCATGCTCTTTTAAGAGAGACAAGGCTTTTATTGGAAACCCTTCCAAACAAGCCATACATATTCAGACTTGTATGGAGCGGTTGGTCCTGGCTCAGCTTCGGCGCCTAATAAGCTCATCACTGGACCCACTTCAGTTTGCCTACCAGCCTGGCATTGGAGCGGATGATGCCGTCATTCACCTCCTACATCGTTCCCTCGCTCACCTGGAGACCGCTGGAAGCACTGTGAGAATCATGTTCTTTGATTTCTCCAGTGCCTTCAACACCATTCTTCCCTCGGTTCTAAAGGACAAGCTGGTGAACTCTGGAGTGGACCATCACCTCACTACCTGGATCCTGGACTACCTCACCGACCGACCACAGTATGTGAGCACTCAGGGCTGTGTGTCGGACAGGGTCGTCTGCAGTACGGGGGCCCCACAGGGAACGGTTCTGGCTCCGTTCCTCTTCACCATCTACACTGCAGACTTCTCCCACAATTCCACCCAGTGCTTCCTGCAGAAGTTCTCTGATGACTCTGCAATAGTCGGCCTCATCACTGATGGGGACGACAAGGAGTACAGAGGACTGACCCAAGACTTTGTGGACTGGTGCCAGCTGAACTACCTCCAGATCAACGCCAGTAAAACCAAGGAACTGGTGGTAGACTTCCGCAGGCACAAGCATTCTCCACTGCAACCACTGAACATCCAAGGTATGGACATTGAGGCTGTGGACAGCTACAGGTACCTTGGTGTTCATCTGAACAATAGACTGGACTGGACTCATAACTCAGACGCCCTCTACAGGAAAGGGCAGAGCAGGCTGTACCTGCTGCGGAGACTCAGGTCGTTTGGAGTGGAGGGCCCACTCCTGAAGAAATTCTATGACTCTGTTGTGGCTTCTGCTATCTTTTATGGCGTGGTCTGCTGGGGCGGCAGCATCTCTGCTGGGGACAGGAAGAGACTGAACAGGGTGATCCGAAGGGCCAGCTCTGTTCTAGGATGCCCTCTGGACCCAGTGGAGGTGGTGAGTGACAGGAGAATGGCGGCTAAGCTGTCATCCCTGTTGGACAACGTCTCCCACCCCATGCAGCAGACTGTGACAGCACTGAGCAGCTCCTTCAGTGGGAGACTGCGGCACCCACGGTGTGGGACGGAGAGATTTCGCAGGTCTTTCCTCCCCACTGCTGTCAGACTCCATAATAAAGACTTTAACTGATCAAGCACACACATCCATACATATGCAATAATACTAAGTGCAATAATCCTTTCTGTCATCGTTGTATTTTTACTCAGTTGTATATAGTATTTGTATTTGTATTCTATTTTTATCTTATTGTATATTTATTTTATTTTATTCTACTGTATATAGTATTTTATTTTATTCTATTCTGTACAGTTGTGTACTGTATTTATTCTTATTGTATTCTAATTTTTGCCTCATAACTTTTGCACTGTCCACTTCCTGCTGTGACAAAACAAATTTCCCACCTGTGGGACTAATAAAGGTTATCTTATCTTATCTTGTTCCAGTTGTATTGTTATGAACTTTAAGATCTAACATACTAGCTGAGGCCTGTAGATTCTGAGATGAAGCTCTTTATTTTATTCATTGAATTTCATTCTAGGATACTGGCATACATTAAACACAATGTCGCATTTAGACCACAAACAGTCCATAAAGGAGTGTTTTTGTAATGTAACAGCCTTACTCTTTCATCCATGCTACACTACGTGATTTATAAAGAAACGATATTGGCGTTGCGAAAAACTAAAAGTCAATTACACGTTCTGAATAATGCAATATGCCGAAAGAAATCACCTTAAATTTGTGCCATTTGATGACTCATTTGATGATGAGTGGTAATTTCAAAACACATAATTTGGGCAGACTTAAAATACAAGCAGTAATGCAAAAAGTCCTCAGTAATAATCAAAACAGTGTGATGCAGTTTATTATACCTTAGTGATGCATATTCCTGGAAGAATTTTCTATTAAATCCAGACAACCCAGCTGACACAGAGCAGACTGTCCAGATATTTTTGTTGGTACATAAAAGCAAAGTACCGCATGAACAATTTAGAGTAGTAGCTAGCTAAAATCACAGGACACCTCTCATTATGATTTTTTTTAACACAGTTAATGTGAAAGAAATACAGGGCAGGATTATAATGCAGTAATCCAATTGTTAAATGCTTTTAACTATTGGTCTCTTATACTGTACAAGAGAATAACATTAATATAAAGCAGCACCAAAAACTCCATCCTCTATAATTTTTCCTCAAATAAGCCTTCATCTTCAAACTGTGAGCCAAAGCAGAGAGGGGGTGTCAAAGGAAGCCCTACAGAGCCTCGCCATCAGCTAGGAAGAAGCAGCAATCCCCACTAGCTACTTCTATCTTACACTTTAATCCCAGGCAGCATGGTCTGAACGTATAGACGCCTCAGGGGACTGCTGGGGCTGGACGAGGAAGGCCTTTGAATGGATGGCCTTGTGTGTGGCTGTTGGAGGGGAGAGTCAGAGGGAGAAAATGAAAGGGAGAGAGAGGCTGTGTGGCTTTGGTATTAAGACAGATAGGCTATTGATGGACTCCAGTACATTCAGATATTCAGATCAAGTTCTGCCACATGATGTACAACATCATGCCCAGGATTTAAAATTTTAAGTTGCATGGATTTTTCACACAGGGGTTTGCTTTTGTTTTATCTACCATGTTATGGTGCTGTGGCACATTTGTAAACCAGTTTTCCAATTTTCCTGTATAAATCTGTAAAATTTAGTGTAAACATAGAAGTTTATGCGTTGTATGTTAAGTGATATGCACACCAAGTCAAATAAAATGTAGGTAAATGTGCACTATTCCAAAATCTATCACTGTTCCC